CAACCCTACATATGTTAACCGCCTTTACGAACAGCGAAAGGCCATCACCGATTTCCTGATGTTACAAGCGGATAAAGGTACTCCCCTGTGTAACTTAGATGTCAGCCATTGGCAGCTCATGCGTGACACCTGCCGCTTGCTCGGGCCCTTTGAGGAGGCCACGCTATTCATGAGTCGGCAGGACTATGGGATGAACGACGTCATTCCTCTGTTGCACGTCCTGGAACAAATGCTGTTAACAATGGCTGGTCAGGGTGCGGTAGACGTGGCGCACAGATCTCAACGCCACATGACCCCTGTGGGGGCAGGACAGGAAGAAGAGGAGGAGGTAGAGGAGGATATTGGTGCTCAGGAATTATTGAGTGAAATGGGTGGTTTTTCCACTCAGCGGACAGGAGTGGAGGAGCAGGAGCATCTGGTAGAGGAGGAGGAGACAGAGGACCCAGACGCACCGTGGCAGTATGCTGTGGAGATGGAGGCAGGGGAGTCCCTCGCATTCCTTGGCACAAATGGCCCATAGCATGCTCTGTTGCTTGCGTAGCGACAGCCGAATAATAACCATCAGACAGAGGGATGACTTTTGGCTGTCCACCTTGTTGGACCCTCGCTACCGTTCAAAAATGGTGGCCTTTTTCACACCTGCTGAGAGGGAGGCCAAAATAACGTACTATAAAAACCACCTATGTAGTCAGTTGGTCTCTGCCTTTCTGCGCCAACGTCCATCCTCAGACACTGTGGGCCCTGTGCGCTCGCGTTCCGTTGCCATGGCAGCAGGGGAGGGGTGGGGTGGTAGGAGCAGTGGCAGCTCCACCAGCAGCGGCTGCCTCAGTCTGCAGTCGATGATGAGTAGCTTTCTTCACCAGCGCAGTGAGGAAACTACTAACCAGCCGCAGCAGCATCAGGTGGACCTGGAGCAGGACCTCAAACAGGCTTGGGCCTACTTGGACAGCACCCTGCCAACCGAGGTAGACAATCCCCTTGACTACTGGGCAACGAAACTTGACCTTTGGCCCCAACTAGCTGAATTTGCCCTTGAAAGGCTGTCATGCCCGGCCAGTAGCGTGGCATCGGAGCGCGTGTTTAGTGCGGCAGGAGGTATTGTAACTCCGCGGAGGACACGACTGTCCACCCAAAGTGTGGAGAGACTCACGTTTGTGAAAATGAATCAGGCGTGGATTAGTCTGGATTTCAAACCACCAGTTCCTGACACAACTGACTAAATCCGCCATGAATCATGCCCCAAACATATTATTTTTAACATAGGCCTCTGTATGGCCTTCAATTTAAGCTGCTTACGCTTTGCCACTCTGCCATGGGCCCCCGTACCGACTCCTCATGCTGCTGCCAGGCCCGTAATCTGTCATGGGCCCCTGTACCGCCTCCTCATGCTGCTGCCAGGTCCAGAGTGTGTCATGGGTCCCTGTACGTCCTCCCATTGCTGCTGTCTCCATCGCCACACTCTGCCATGTGCCACTTTCAGGTCTCCTCACACTGCTGGTGGGTTCCATTTTGTCATAGGGTGCTGGCAGATTACGGGCCTCCCATTGCTGCTGCCAGGCCCGTAATCTGCCATGGGCCCCCGTACCGACTCCTCATGCTGCTGCCAGGCCCGTAATCTGTCATGGGCCCCTGTACCGCCTCCTCATGCTGCTGCCAGGTCCAGAGTGTGTCATGGGTCCCTGTACGGCCTCCCATTGCTGCTGTCTCCATCGCCACACTCTGCCTTGTGCCACTTTCAGGTCTCCTCACACTGCTGGTGGGTTCCATTTTGTCATAGGGTGCTGTATGGCCTCCCATTGCTGCTGCCTCCACCGCCACACTGTGGCTCCACACTCTGGTTTTGGCCCCGTGACTGCCCAAATGAGTGAAGTGTGCGGTGATTCTAAGATCGACGGCACTCATCTGCATGTCATACTGACTGACAGTATTATTTCTCTTCCCCAGCAGACTCCAAGGGCATTTAAATTAAAGGTACAGTGTTCTGCACTAATATAAAGGCTCTCTGAAGCCTAGAAACACCCTTTTTAAAGTTAAATTCGCAGCGAATATATTCGCCTCGAATCGAATTTATTCCTCGAGTTCGCCGAATCGAATTTTTGAATACTTCGCTCATCTCTAATTTCCACGTTCAGTGATCTGAGATCTACAGTCAGGTCCATAAATATTGGGACATCGACACAATTCTAACATTTTTGTCTCTATACACCACCACAATGGATTTGAAATGAAACGAACAAGATGTGCTTTAACTGCAGACTGTCAGCTTTAAATTGAGAGTATTTACCTCCAAATCAGGTGAACGGTATAGGAATTACAACAGTTTGCATATGTGCCTCCCACTTGTTAAGGGATCAAAAGTAATGGGACAGAATAATAATCATAAATCAAACTTTCACTTTTTAATACATGGTTGCAAATCCTTTGCAGTCAATTACAGCCTGAAGTGTGGAACGCATAGACATCACCAGACGATGGGTTTCATCCCTGGTGATGCTCTGCCAGGCCTCTACTGCAACTGTCTTCAGTTCCTGCTTGTTCTTGGGGCATTTTCCCTTCAGTTTTGTCTTCAGCAAGTGAAATGCATGCTCAATCGGATTCAGGTCAGGTGATTGACTTGGCCACTGCATAACATTCCACTTCTTTCCCTTAAAAAAACTCTTTGGTTGCTTTTGCAGTATGCTTTGGGTCATTGTCCATCTGCACTGTGAATCGGCGTCCAATGAGTTCTGAAGCATTTGGCTGAATATGAGCAGATAATATTGCCCAAAACACTTCAGAATTCATCCTGCTGCTTTTGTCAGCAGTCACATCATCAATAAATACAAGAGAACCAGTTCCATTGGCAGCCATACATGCCTATGCCATGACACTACCACCACCATGCTTCACTGATGAGGTGGTATGCTTAGGATCATGAGCAGTTCCTTTCCTTCTCCATACTCTTCTCTTCCCATCACTCTGGTACAAGTTGATCTCGGTCTCATCTGTCCATAGGATGTTGTTCCAGAACTGTGAAGGCTTTTTTAGATGTCGTTTGGCAAACTCTAATCTGGCCTTCCTGCTTTTGAGGCTCACCAATGGTTTCCATCTTGTGGTGAACCCTCTGTATTCACTCTGGTGAAGTCTTCTCTTGATTGTTGACTTTGACACGCATACACCTACCTCCTGGAGAGTGTTCTTGATCTGGCCAACTGTTGTGAAGGGTATTTTCTTCACCAGGGAAAGAATTCTTCTGTCATCCACCACAGTTGTTTTCCGTGGTCTTCCGGGTCTTTTGGTGTTGCTGAGCTCACCGGTGCGTTCCTTCTTTTTAAGAATGTTCCAAACAGTTGTTTTGGCCACGCCTAATGTTTTTGCTATCTTTCTGATGGGTTTGTTTTGTTTTTTCAGCCTAATGATGGCTTGCTTCACTGATAGTGACAGCTCTTTGGATCTCATCTTGAGAGTTAACAGCAACAGATTCCAAATGCAAATAGCACACTTGAAATGAACTCTGGACCTTTTTTCTGCTCATTGTAATTGGGATAATGAGGGAATAACACACACCTGGCCATGGAACAGCTGAGAAGCCAATTGTCCCATTACTCTTGGTCCCTTAACAAGTGGGAGGCACATATGCAAACTGTTGTACTTCCTACACCGCTCACCTGATTTGGATGTAAATACCCTCAAATTAAAGCTGACAGTCTGCAGTTAAAGCACATCTTGTTCGTTTCATTTCAAATCCATTGTGGTGGTGTATAGAGTCACAAATGTTAGAATTGTGTCGATGTCCCAATATTTATGGACCTGACTGTAGATTCTAGCTCAATTGAAAATGATTCTCACATTGTGCATTAGAAGTCAGATAGAAATATAGTAATGAGGGATTCAGTGAGCGCTAACCAACATAGCAGATGATACACTAAAAAGGAAAAACCATAAACCTTCAAATAGACAATATAAGATAAATAGTGCAGCGCTAGATGATATATGACTGCACCAGTATTTGAGATGGTGCAATATCCCTTACTTAAAAGTCAACTAATATGGGCCACATATATTGTATGTGACCTTCCCAAGAATTGAAAAGAGGGGAATAATGACATAAACTCCACACGGCTCCACTTCACAATAAAAAACGCACAATATAAATGCACAATACAGTCCAGTCATCAAAGAAACACAGATAAGTATATCTTGATAAGATCCTTATGATGCATGTAGTCCGGCGTTGTGCAGAAAATGTGAATAAATTGCGCACTCACCGGAAGCACAATTTAAATTGTGCGTTTGTGTCTCATACACCAAGGATCACTCCGGCTGTAGATGAAAGGAAGCTCTGAACAGGTGGTTCTGTGATGAAAGGTAACACATCTGGGGGTTCCTTATGGCAGACAGGCTCCAAACAGGATCAGTTGAATATTACTCTGGGCCTTGGGGTAGTCACCTGGTGGTCCAGCTGGTATAGAAGATGGGCCGCCGGACCCCCTTGATCCTGCGGCTTGACGTCACGGCTAGCAGGGGCTCCTCCTTGACGCGCGTTTCGTATCACACGTACATCATCAGAAGGAATAAGAGCCATGATAGAAATATGCCTCATTTTCTGAATGGAGGACTATCTCAGATCCATCTCTTTCAGTCATGGAGGCTCAGCATCACATGTGGACATGACCTATGACAGTGTGCATGCAAGCACAGCCTTCCTGGAAGCAACCAATCCACCAAACTGACACCCATTCACTAAGGCATTTTGATATTTGCATAAACCGTACCATCCTGAGAGCCAGCCCACAGCTTGCATTAAGACTGAGGGCTTTTGAGAGGAGTACTGAGGCAAGGTGCTGTGATGTTTTTAGGAACACTACTGTGCAATTTTAAGAGAGGTGTGAAAAAATGCTGTATATTAAGAATGCTTTCAGAAATAAAAGTGTTAATAGTTTATTTGTATCAATTTTTATCAATTAACAAAATGGAAAGTAAATAAAAGGAAGAGAAATCCAAATCAGATCCAATATTTGGTGTGACCAGGGGCTGACTGACCATTTGGAAACTCGGGCACTGCCCGAGGGCCCGGGGTCAGTAGGGAGCCCCATGAGATGCCTCTGGTACCTTTTTTTTCATACGCTTTTTTGAGTTTGGGCAAGGACACGGGCCCCATGATCCCCTATTGCCCAGGGGCCCCATGAGTTGTCAGTCCATCTGGGTGTGACCATCCTTTGCCTTCAAAGCAGCATCAATTCTTTTAGGTACACTTGCACCTAGAACGAACTCAGCAGGTAGATTGTTCCAAACATCTTGGAGAACTAAGTACAGATCTTCTGTGGATGTAGTCTGCCTCAAATGTTTCTGTCTCTTCATGTAATCCCTGCCAGACTCCATGATGTTGAGATCAGGGCTCTGTGGGGGGCCAAACCATCACTTCCAGGACTTCTTGTTCTTCTTTACAATCAAGATAGTTTTTCATGAAATTGGATGTATGTTTGGGGGTCGTTGCCCTGCTACAGAATACATTTGGGGCCAATTACACTTCTACCTGATAGTATGGCATGGTGGATAAGGATCTACCTGTGTGATAAGTGTATTTCTCAGCATTGAGGACACCATTGAGCCTACATTTGCAGAAATGCAGTCCCAAACTTGCAAGAAACCTCCATCATGCTTCACTGTTGCCTGCAGGCACTCATTATTGTACCACTCTCCAGACCTTTGGCAAATAAACTGCCTCCTGCTACAGCCAAATTTTGACTCGGCAGTCCAGAGCACCTGCTGCCGGTTTTCTGCACTGGGGTTCCTATATTTTCATGCATTCATACTTTACAGCATTTCTTCATGCCTGCCTAAAACTTTTGCACAGTACTGTATAGTAGGATGCAGAACACTCACACCAGCCATGATCTGCCTGCATTGCATAGAGAAACTAGGAGACAGAATTATGATGTCACATAATCATTAGCATGTTGATGAGGGGTGGAAAGAAGGATCCTGGGAAGGCAAAATATAAGCAGATTCAGCTTCAGCTGCAGCCCCAACAAAATCCTATGAAATTCATTTGGATGCTGCAAGATGAACCCTTGCTCTCCATGTTTGTACTTGGCAACTGAACACTGCATTCTGGGAGGAGAGAGGGAAAGTGTATACTGTGAAGTACTATTTATCAATGGTGGTATGTATAGGGACAATCTCTGTAACCTCTCGTAGCCTCATATAATGTGTGTCACTGGAAAGTTCCTACTTCCCATCCTCTCCTGTAGCACGTGTGTGTCTCTGACCATCTCTTGTAGCATACTGGCTGTCTCTAGCCATTTTTTGTAGTATGTCAGCAGTTTCTGACCAACTCCTATTCCATGCCGGAAGTTTCTGACCATCTCTTGTCACGTGCCAGATGTCATCGACCACTTTTTGTAGCATGCCATTAGTCTCTGGCCATCACTTGTTTACATACCAGCAGTCTGACCATCTCTTGCATCATGTCTGCAGTCTGTCCATCTCTTGTAGCATATCAGCTGTCTCTGACCATCTAAATAATATAATAGTGTAGCGCTTGATAACATATAAAACAACTAAAATAAATAAATTAGGTACATAAACCTAGTGACAACTCCTAGTGTCTAAAATATACGTGCTCTTAACAAGTGTAACTTAATTCATGAGTGAAAAACCTCATAAAACATAATAGTGTTATTATAACCACACAGCATAATATTTTGTGTTAGTGCCACTCCTAATTAATATAACATGTGATCGTGCCAAATCACTAAAGTAAGTATATTGTCCAATATCAAAAAAAAAAAAAAAAAAAAAAAAAAAAAAAAAAAAAAAAAGCAAATATAAAACAGTGAAGTCCAAGTGATGATTAGATACACATGCAATGTGTTAACATGGTGTCACTCGTGAAATATCCACTCTGCCACTTTGGCTGCAATGCCTCCTCACCTCCTTTCTACGACCCCTAGGGGCCAACAAGCCTTTTGGATCAACTTGGATCCTCAGCACTCCTGGATGGTACCTCTCAGGCTATCCTTCTGTTTTGACCTCCTCCGCACCTTTCCGCCTCGCGGAGACCTCTACTCCGATCCTCTGTGAATCCTCACTCTCACAATGGTGAGTTCAAGAAAAAAGATCCTCCATAGTGTAGTAATTAAAATCACCAGCTTTTTATTTGTAAAATCGAAAGTCACTCACATTTGTGTACAGCGTTTTCTTCTCCCCTGCATGGGTAAACTGCACTCATGTAAGGCTCTGGGAAAATGGCGTCCCGTACCGGAAGTGCGTCACTCGGGACTCCGGAAACTGCGTCTCTGCGTGCCTACGCGTTACGTCACGTACCTCGTGACTTCATCTGGGTCAGATGAAGTCACGAGGTACGTGACGTAACGCGTAGGCACGCAGAGACGCAGTTTCCGGAGTCCCGAGTGACGCACTTCCGGTACGGGACGCCATTTTCCCAGAGCCTTACATGAGTGCAGTTTACCCATGCAGGGGAGAAGAAAACGCTGTACACAAATGTGAGTGACTTTCGATTTTACAAATAAAAAGCTGGTGATTTTAATTACTACACTATGGAGGATCTTTTTTCTTGAACTCACCATTGTGAGAGTGAGGATTCACAGAGGATCGGAGTAGAGGTCTCCGCGAGGCGGAAAGGTGCGGAGGAGGTCAAAACAGAAGGATAGCCTGAGAGGTACCATCCAGGAGTGCTGAGGATCCAAGTTGATCCAAAAGGCTTGTTGGCCCCTAGGGGTCGTAGAAAGGAGGTGAGGAGGCATTGCAGCCAAAGTGGCAGAGTGGATATTTCACGAGTGACACCATGTTAACACATTGCATGTGTATCTAATCATCACTTGGACTTCACTGTTTTATATTTGCTTTTTTTTTTTTTTTTTTTTTTTTTTTTTTTTTTTTTTTTTTTTTTTTTTTTTGGATATTGGACAATATACTTACTTTAGTGATTTGGCACGATCACATGTTATATTAATTAGGAGTGGCACTAACACAAAATATTATGCTGTGTGGTTATAATAACACTATTATGTTTTATGAGGTTTTTCACTCATGAATTAAGTTACACTTGTTAAGAGCACGTATATTTTAGACACTAGGAGTTGTCACTAGGTTTATGTACCTAATTTATTTATTTTAGTTGTTTTATATGTTATCAAGCGCTACACTATTATATTATTTATTTGAACACTGCTTGTGGGTATCAGCCAGAGTGTTAGCGGCTGTTAACTAGGGAAAGGGGAGGGTGGTCCATAGCAGCGCAGGAGGACTCCCAATATATGTCTCTGACCATCATTTGTAGCATGCCAGCAGTCTCTGACCATCACTTGTAGCATGCCAGCAGTCTCTGACCACCACTTGTAGCATATCTGCAGTCTCTGACCATTGCTTGTAGTATACCTGCAGTCTCTGACCATTGCTTGTAGTATACCTGCAGTCTGACCATCTCTGGTAGCATGCCTGCAGTCTGACCATCTCTGGTAGCATGCCTGCAGTCTCTGGCCATCTCTGGTAGCATGCCTGCAGTCTCTGGCCATCTCTGGTAGCATGCCTGCAGTCTCTGGCCATCTCTGGTAGCATGCCTGCAGTCTCTGGCCATCTCTGGTAGCATGCCTGCAGTCTCTGGCCATCTCTGGTAGCATGCCTGCAGTCTCTGTCCATCTCTGGTAGCATGCCTGCAGTCTCTGTCCATCTCTGGTAGCATGCCTGCAGTCTCTGGCCATCTCTGGTAGCATGCCTGCAGTCTCTGGCCATCTCTGGTAGCATGCCTGCAGTCTCTGTCCATCTCTGGTAGCATGCCCGCAGTCTCTGGCCATCTCTGGTAGCATGCCCGCAGTCTCTGGCCATCTCTGGTAGCATGCCCGCAGTCTCTGGCCATCTCTGGTAGCATGCCCGCAGTCTCTGGCCATCTCTGGTAGCATGCCCGCAGTCTCTGGCCATCTCTGGTAGCATGCCCGCAGTCTCTGGCCATCTCTGGTAGCATGCCCGCAGTCTCTGGCCATCTCTGGTAGCATGCCCGCAGTCTCTGACCATCTCTGGTAGCATGCCCGCAGTCTCTGGCCATCCTCTATAGAATGTCTTTTTTATTCTTTGAAGGCTTCTTGTAGGATTACATAAAACAAATATTATACAGTGCCTTGAAAAAGTATTCATACCCCTTGAAATGTTCCACATTTTATCATGTTACAACCAAAAATGTAAATGTATTTTATTGGGATTTTATGTGATAGACCAACACAAAGTGGCACATAATTGTGAAGTGAAAATGATAAATGGTTTTCAACATTTTTTACAAAGAAATATCTGAAAAGTGTGGCGTGCATTTGCATTCATCCCCCCGGAGTCAATACTTTGTGGAACCACCTTTCCCTGCCATTCCAGCTGCTTTTTGGGGATGTCTCTACCAGCTTTGCACATCTAGAGTAAACATTTTTGCCCATTCTTCTTTGCAAAATAGCTCAAGCTCTGTCAGATTGGATGGGGAGTGCCTGTGAACAGCAATTTTCAAGTCTTGCCACAGATTCTCAATTGGATTTGGGTCTGGACTTTGACTGCGCCATTCTAACACATGAATATGCTTTGATCTAAACCATTCCATTGTAGCTCTGGCTGTATGTTTAAGGTCGTTGTTCTGCTGGAAGGTGAACCTCTGCCCCAGTCTCAAGTCTTTTGCAGACTCTAACAAGTTTTCTTCCAAGTTTGCCCTGTATTTGGCTCCATCCATCTTCCCATCAACTGTGACCAGCTTCCCTGTCCCTGCTGAAGAAAAGCATCTCCACAACATGATGCTGCCACCAACATGATTCATGGTGGGGATGGTGTTCAGGGTGATGTGGAGTGTTAGTTTTCTGCCGCACATAGCATTTTGCTTTTAGGCCAAAAAGTTCAATTTTGGTCTCATCTGACCAGAGCACCTTCTTCCACGTTTGCTGTGTCCTCCACATGGCTTCTCACAAACTGCAAACGGGACTTCTTATGGCTTTCTTATTTCCATTCTTCCATAAAGGCCAGATTTGTGGAGTGCAAAACTAATAGTTATCCTGTGGACAGATTTTCCCCACCTGAGCTGTGGATCTCTGCAGCTCCTCCAGAGTTACCATGGGCCTCTTGGCTGCTTCTCTGATTAATGCTCTCCTTGTCAGTTTAGGTGGATGGTCATGTCTTGGTAGGTTTGCAGTTGTGCCATGCTCTTTCCATTTTAGGATGATGGATTGAACAGTGCTCTGTGAGATGTCCAAAGCTTAGGATATTTTTTTTTTTTTTCATAACCTAACCCTGGTTTAAACTTCTCCACAACTTTATCCCTGACCTGTCTGGTGTGTTCCTTGGCCTTCATGATGCTGTTTGTTCACTAATGTTCTCTAACAAACCTTTTGAGGGCTTCACAGAACAGATTTTATTTATATTGCGATTAAATTACACCTAGGTGGACTCTTTACTAATTAGGTGACTTCTGAAAGCAATTGGTTCCACCAGATTTTAGTTAGGGGTGTCAGAGTAAAGGGGGCTGAATACAAATGCACACCACACTTATCAGATATTTTATTTATAAACAAATATGAAAAACATTTATCATTTTCCTTCCACTTCACAATTATGTGCCACTTTGTGTTGGTCTATCACATAAAATCCCAATAAAATGTATTAACTTTTTTTTTTATTTTTGTGTAACATGACAAAATGTGGAAAATTTCAAGTGGTATGAATACTTTTTCAAGGCACTACTTTGGTGACGTCAGGCACCAGACTTGAGACTCCCTATAGTAGGTAGGGTGATTAGCACTGATCTAGACTGTTTTTCTGTTTACCACATCCTCATACCATTGCTCAGCTACATTTAGAACAAAAGCTGTTGATTTTACAACCATTCAGGTGTATCTTATTCAGACACTTCATTTATCAGTAAACAGACAGGTGGGGATTTAACTCTCCTCTGCTTTTGTCCTTTCTATAAAGCTGCTGCTATTTTTGGCAGCCAATGCTTGTTATGTGTTGTTGAGTCTGGGTCGGTCTTGTCATTTCCCCCAGAGCCTCTATTTACCTGATATGTGCATCCTTCATTCAGTGAATTCTGGACAGTCTCCTCCAGTCTAATAGCTGTATTTATTATTGATGGTAAATGTGGTTGTTGGTCCGTATGCACATTTAATAAAACATTATTACAGTGCGCAACTATGGTATTTGCAAAGCATGTTGAAATTTCCTATTAAAAGGCCCAACACAACTGCATGCATGTTGGCAGCCTGTGTGTAGCTGATTAAGATCTTCTAAGGAAGTGGAATCTGTAAAAAAAAAAAAAAAAAACAAAAAATTCCAGTTATGCTTGGACATCACCTACTGGCTGAAAGTGGTAAATACATTACCCGAACCTCTGCAATATTTGTCTCCTGATTGGTCTTTCATGTACCATACACACGTAGAACATGGTACAATTGGCTATATTGTATGGTGCTGTTTTTCTGTGACTATAAAATACCAAACCTCTTGATTACTATAATCCTTCTATTTGTCAGACACACAGAGCCTATGGGTAAATACTATATTCATGTAGCTCTACCCCCGAAGGAGCCACTTGGTAATTTTGGGTTCCCTGTTCTGGGCCCCGACTCCAAGAACAACCTTAGCCCCTCTGACACACCTGGTTGAATAAGACTACTAAGTGCTAAAGACCCCATAAGGAATAGCTTTGCAGGATGTTATTTTACTAGAAAATAAAGTCAGCAGATAACAAAAATGTAAAAATGTGGGTTTAGTTTTAGATTGCAGGGTTTAGCATTGAACAGAGTCGCAAAAATTGGCAATAAATGACCGTAAAAAAGGGCCAACAAACCCTTGGTGGACCTATGATCCCACGGGTAAGAAAAGACTTTTCATTAGTCAGCTCCCTCTAAGCCCACCTTTAAGATAAACAGTTGTTTGCACTTGAAGGAAGAAGAATTAACCAGTGATAGACTTGTCAGGCTGAATCCTGTGAGTAGAGGAGTCCTGGAGTTAATGGTGTCCGTGGTCTTCAGCTAGCTATGAAGGGGCCCAAAAGTATTATTGTGCAATTGCAACCAGCCAAGTGAATAGAATAAGCAAGGTATTTCCCAGCAAAGGGCCTTTAAGTGGATAAAGGGTGAGAGGGTGGTGGTGTCTGCATGCAGTCTCTCTGAGTTGAGTATTAAAGGATAAGGTGGGCCTCTGCCTGCTCACTGATCCTGGAAATATCTAGACTCTTGGAGGGAGTGTGTGTCCCGGAACAGGCTCTTGAAGGTCTGTAGGCAGTTGAAGGATGCCCAATTGGCAACCTGATGACTCCGGCCTCAGGTATGTCTGCGTGGGCATATCTGGAGGTAGCCACAGTGCTGATGAGGTGCCCATGGCTGTAGATCTGCACCCAGTGTTTGAGTTTGCTGGCAGGAAGGGTCTCCACTCAGTCCAGGCAGAGGTGCCTGCACAAACAGGCGGGGAGATAGCCTCTTGCTCCTGCAGCTGTGGTTCCCATGTCTCATCCACACAGTCCTCTCTCTCCTGGACTCCTCTCCCTGATGGCCCAGTGTCAAGGCCCTACCTTTTCCTTGAGGTTATGTTACTCCATGTGCTGACGTCCATCTTGGATTCTGCTGTGCATGATGGGAATCCTTTTTATGCCTTCAGGTCTCTGAGGTCCACCCCCCAGAGGGGCGTGGCTGATGACATATAAGCCTGTGGCCTGCACATGCTCTTTGCACTTGTGTCTTTGTGTTACTATTACTCTGTTCTGACTCTTGTGACTCTCCTGGTATTCTGATTCGGCTTGTGACTTACTATTCTTTGTATTCTCCTTTGATCTGACCCTCTGTTGCTGAACCCGGCTCGTGACCTGTGATTCTCGTCTGCTGTCCTGTACTGTTTTGTCCTGTTGTTGTTGACCCCGGCCTGTCTGACTACTCTTTTGTCTCTTCCACCAGCTACACGCCATTGGCGGCGGCCATTACCGCAGCTGAGGTGTCTCGGGGGGGGGCCGCGACCTGGTTCCTGGCTGCGTCAAGTCCATCCCCACCATCAGGGGCCCTGGTGAAGGGCAGCCTGGGACTTAGACTCCGCGCCCTGGGGGACTTCGGTCTGTGGGGTGGTGGTTGTCGTCAGCCACTGCGTTACATTGTTAGGCCTGCCTGTCCGTTCCTCGGCTCCTGCCCTGACACCCAGGCAGCATGCTTATCTCTCCTTTTTGTTCTTCTCCCTTTTTTTTTTGTTTTTCCCTCTCCCTTGAGCAGAGCATGCTGGGCTTGTAGTTTTGCTCCTTCTAGTTGGAATAGGGCCCCTTGTTCTCTGGGACTACATATTCCATAATCCTCTTTTTGCTCCCTGCTAATTGATCCCTTGTGTAACCAATGGAGAGGGAGGGACAGAGCGGGCGGCAGTCAGCGGGAGGGTACAGTCCACAGTTGCACTCTCCCTTGAGGTCCTCTCTCTGTCAGTGCCCACGATGGCCCAAACAGGGTGGCACAAAATTTCCTGTCACTGCCTAAGCCACCAGGGGCGAAGAAAGAGAGCCCCCTGTGCAGCTGCTCCGGTCCCCGCCATCACGGTTCCCCACACTGCTGGGATCATCTCCATATGAATACCTTTTTATGAATGTAGTTTATATTGGATAAAAGCCATAAAGGCTTCATTTAAATATCAACTTTGTCCTGACTTTGTTTTACTTTGACTAGAGACTAGAAAATGATCTATTTTGTGCATACGCCCATACGAGTGTGTACATCAGCCTAATGTATGCGCACGTACAGCCACACACAGCTGTACATATCTATGGGCAGCTGTACATATATGGGCAGCTGTACACACCTGGGTTTTCCAGGCGGGGGAAATACGCAGGAGGCATTAGGCACATATTTTACCCTGTTAGGTCTGTATTGCCAGGCACAAATCCATCATGCACCTTCACTTTTCACACCTTGCATGGCTGATGGTGCTACTGTGAAAATCAAGAAATGACCAGAGCACCAAAGATTACAGATCTATTATCTTTACTGAGAACTTAGTTGACATTCACATAGCTTGTATAGCACAAAAGTGTAAACTTTGAGGTCTGTAACCCTTCGTATGCTGGCCATTTTGTACTTCATGAGGTTTATATTGCTGTCTGTGTCCCAGATGGGGAAATTCACCCAGTGTATTTGTTCTTATGAACACTGTCATGGGTCTGATGGAAATTCCAAAATTTTGAGCTGTCCATAGAGCAGGAATAGGCAGTAAATCTTCAAATCAGGACACTTGATCCAGTGACCGCTATCCAAGACGGGATGTTCCCTCACTTTGTAGAGTTTCCTCTCAATTCTTGTTGCATCTTCAGGAAAATGTGTGAATGGAGATTTCCCCGACAGGATACACAAAGCAAGAAATAAGTAGATAGGAGTTTTAGACTTGCTACTGTATCCTAAACTAAAGAGAGATTTTGTCTATACATACTTTGTAGTTGTCTATTATGTCTAACCATGTTTTATTTACCCCAAGGGACTTTGGAGCACTATGCAGTTGGGAAACTTTCATGAGTCCAGTTTTATATGAATTTGTAAATGGTCCCTTTTTGATACATGGGTGTTTTCTTCATTTTTAGGTATGATGTTGACAGGCGTAAACTGGTTGTCAAAGAATGTGTACCAAATGAGCAATACTTGTAAATTGCTCCTTTTTTTGTTTTTGGCAGCCCTCCCCAATGCTGGTTAGAACCTGAGAAAATAGACAACTGCAGGAAAAGTGAAATTACAATTTCAACATACAAGCTGATAAACCTGTAAGTCAGGATTTGTTATTACATGTACCCGGTGTACAATCTATCCTGTAGAGAGGATTGGAAGCCACATATGCGGCAAAGAATGTGAAATTGGGATCATGTTCTGTAGATATTCAGGAGATGGTATTGGTAGTCTATTAATGTTTTATGATCATCCAATAGCCAAGTTATTGAGCAGGTAGCATTTAATGTCTCTCTAGAATGTAATAAATTCAAATTTGATCATCTCCAGCATATAGGTGTCATTGGTGTTGTAGGCTATAATTAAAACTTATATATGCTCAGAATAATGATCATTACATTTGCTACTGTTTTCAGCACTTATTGGTTGTTATTAGGGTTAGGTTCACACTATTGCGGCTTTGCGGGCCACATTTTTTTTTTTGTGGGCACGGCAGCCCATTCTTTTGGGCTGCTATGCCTGCATTTTTACGCAGAGAAAAAGTTTTGCCTGCGGGTGGTTGCAGGTGTGGGAACAGCTACAATTCCGGCAACCACCGTCAATAGTGTGAACCATGCCAAAAAAAAACCCAAAACATTCTTCATGACAGACAATGACCTTTTTAATAGCTGCATATCTTATGTCCATATGGAATAGGATTTCTTAATCAGGGTTCCTCCAAGAGTTGTCCATATTAATCTTTTTCGGCTATATGTAAAGGGGCATGATTTCTTCCGGCCACCAACATAAGAAGCACTCTTCCCATTGACCACCAATGTAGGAAACCATTCTTCTTATTTACCACCAGTGGAAGAGGCGTTCTTGCCGCTGCCAGCCAATGTAAGGGAATGCTTCATTGACCACAGGTGTAAATAGGCACTTCAATGACCACCAATGTGAGGGAGCGCTGCAATTTTCATGGTTTGTGTTCCTTTTCTGGCCATTATTTAAATAGTAATATTAAAATGTATTGTTCTGTATAGTGAAGCCCTGAGTGTCAAATACATCAAGTACGCCACATTTCTCATTCCAGGGGCGGACTGACCATTTGGAAACTCGGGCACTGCCCGAGGGCCCGGTGTCAGTAGGGGGCCCCATAAGATGTCCATGGTACCTTTTTTTTTTTTTTTTTTTTTTTTTTTTTTTTTTTTTTTTTTTTTCCCATAGGCTTTTTTGAGTTTGGGCAAGGACACGGGCCCCATGATCCCCTATTGCCCGGGGGCCCCATAAGTTGTCAGTCCGCCCGTCTCATTCTTTTACTTATTCTTTTATCCACAACTTTAGGTATAAATATTTATTAAAAGGGGTTAGTTGTCTCAAGAGTTCCTCCCTGTTAAAATGTTGAGGCTGAAATAGAGTGTAACAGAATTTTATTATGATGATAAAGTTCTGTGGTGCTTTGATCATGGCCATTAGTCAGATCATTTATCATAATTTGTCCCAGGCCCCCTGCCAGAAGGGGCCTCCTCTATATAAAAATATAATAGTTCTAAAATTAGTTATTTTAATAAAAGTTAACTTGGGGAAGCAGTATTTTGCCTGCAATCATCTGTAAAAGTATTTACTCTGGACTTTGTCAGCTCAAATCAACCACTCATAGAGGGATTAAGGTCTTAAGGAAAGCAGCATTATTGAGCACGTGCGACCTCATAATGATGTTGTGTTATGCATTTTTAAAATGTATGACTGTCATTGAGAAGGTGAACCAACTACATAGTTATCGATTAGCTAGTGAGAAAAGTCAGTTATGGAGGTTGACAGGTCCACAGTTCAACTTGGTTGTGTAAATTGTTGAGCCAAGCCATTGTTATCTATGGAAACTAGAGTACATAGCAGCATAAGTATGTTTTTAGTAATTTGTCTTACTGAAAAATCTACTTGGAGTTTTGCTGGCAAGTATAGACATGCATTTACTTCCAATAGCTAATATACCTTTCTTTGTAACTCCGTTCCAATGACATGCAATAAATGGACTCTGGTGTGTAAATCTGGTGATTTGAATTGTCCCTGATTCCCCCAAGGTCTGAATCCAGTCCTGGCTATAGTCAGGTTATATTAGGTCAGTATTTATGTCTATGAACGTAAAAGAATTTAATATGATCATGTGAAATGGTCAGGTGACAATGGGAGGTGGAGTGTTCTCTGAACTCTATGGAATGTAATAAACAACGAATCATGATCATGGGTCATCGGTCATGTGGAGTTGTACGTCTGCTCTGAGTATGACAGAATCTTATTCTGATCATAATTCACATTGGTGGATGTAGCTTTCGGTCTAAGAAAACTGCAATATTAAGATTATAATAAATCATTTATAACTTGGTCTATGCCATAAAGTCAGTTTTATAATGTTCTGTAATTCCCTCCTTATTGTGCTTTCACTGGATTTTCAATTCCAGTCATTTAAAAAAATGTTTTGACCAATAATGAAATTTGACCAAAAACTACATCCACCAATGTGAATTACCTATGTAATATGATCATAATAAGATTCTGTCAAACTCAGAGCAGACGTAGAACTCCACATGATTGATGACCCATGATCATGATTCATTGTTATTACATTTTCAATTTTGCACAATTTTCACGGTGAAATCTATTTTCCATACTTAAAAAGAACTCCGGGCAGAAAATGTATTCCAATATGTTCTTCACTAGGCTTTTGTCACTGAGAAATCCATTAAGCATGTTAAGAATTTCAGGTCTCAGTACACTCAACATCTGCATTATAAGACCGATGGCTGTTGTTCCCGCCAGGGGCAGACTGACCATTTGGAAACTTAGGCACTGTAGGGGGCCCCATGAGATGCCCCTTGTACCTTTTTTCATAGGCTTTTTTGAGTTTGGGCAAGGACACAGGGGCCCCATGATCCCCTATTGCCCGGGGGCCCCATAAGTTGTCAGTCTGCTCCTGGTTCCCGCTATCTTCCCAGCCACTGGTCTGGTCACTTCCCCATTGTAGTTCTTTACAGCAAGCGATGACAAAATTAGATCCCCGCTCACTGTAGTGAGTAGATCCAGGAGTCTCAGGCTCCTGGTCTTAGCTGCCCACTGTTGCAGCATCTCCTAGTCTGTCCCGGATCTCAACGCCTGTGAATGCTGGGCTGTGCAAATGAGCCAAATGCGATTACTAGTCCAGTTGTGACTGAGCATTGGGTGTGAAAAAATGTGGGCATGTCATGAGGACAATGTGGGAAAGCACACAAGCTCATTCACTGTAATAATTTCCATATATATTTATTACAGGTACTTGTATAGCGCTGTCAATTTACACAGATAGATAGATAGATAGATAGATATATATTCGCATTAACATCAGTTCCTAACCCTCAAGGAGCGTACATTCTAAGGTCCCTAACTCCCTTTCGAACATATACATTCTACTATTATTATTATTATTATTATACAGGATTTATACAGCACCAACAGTTTGCTCAGCGCTTTACAATATAACATGAGACAATACAGCAACAATACAGTACAATACAAGGGAGAAAGGAGGGCCCTGATCCTGGGAGCTTACAATCTAAGAGGGAACGGCTGGTGGAACAAAAGGTAATAACTGTGGAGGATGGACTGATAGGAGAAATAGAAGATGTGGTTATTAGAAAAACTACCAATCTAGACAGGATCCAATTAGCCTACCAGCATGTCTTTGGAGTGTGGGAGAAAACTGGAGTACCCGGAGGAAACCCACGTAGGCACATGTAGAACATGCAAACTTGAGCACAAGTACTTGTAAAAATACTTGGTATCGGTGCATCCCTAAACACTGCAGCAAGTCAAAAGATATCTGTGAACACAACCAAGAATTCCACAAGCGACAATCTTTACATGAGCCAAAATCTAAATGCAGGAGCCTGGGTGATGCCGGAACAAAGATGGTTCCATCCTTCTTATGAAAAGCAAATGAAGACATTGGCAGGGAGAGCAGTGTGATCTCTGGGAGAGGTAATACAAACAGGGCTGCTGTTAGAAACCACTGGGCCCCTTATAGCCAACCTGACACCCCCCACCCCCAAACCACAGGGCCCCAAACAGCCAACCTAACAGGCCCCCCCCCTCATACCCACAAAAATAATACAGTTTACTGTGCTTTAGTTATGAACAGTGAGTGAATGGAATGGAAGGGGCTGGTGTGTGTACACACACATATATATATATATATATATATATATATATATATATATATATATATATATATATATATATATATATATATATATATTATACACATATATATATATATATATATATATATACAGTCAGGTCCATAAATATTGGGACATCGACACAATTCTAACATTTTTGGCTCTATACACCACCACAATGGATTTGAAATGAAACGAACAAGATGTGCTTTAACTGCAGACTGTCAGCTTTAATTTGAGGGTATTTACATCCAAATCAGGTGAACGGTGTAGGAATTACAACAGTTTGCATATGTGCCTCCCACTTGTTAAGGGACCAAAAGTAATGGGACAATTGGCTTCTCAGCTGTTCCATGGCCAGGTGTGTGTATTCCCTCATTATCCCAATTACAATGAGCAGATAAAAGGTCCAGAGTTCATTTCAAGTGTGCTATTTGCATTTGGAATCTGTTGCTGTCAACTCTCAAAATGAGATCCAAAGAGCTGTCACTATTA